TGTTAGCCAGGATGGTCTCGATCTCCTGACCTCGTGATCCGCCCGTCTTGGCCTCCCAAAGTGCTGGGATTACAGGCGTGAGCCACCGCGCCCGGCCTGTTGTTTCTTTTCTTGCAATATCTTTGCCTAGTGTGGTATCAGGATAATGCTGAACTCTTTATGAATTGAGAATTATTCCATCTTTTCAGTTTTCTAAAAGAGTTTATGTATATTTGGTATTCTTTCTTTCTTAAATATTTGGTAGAATTTATCAGTGAAGCCTTCTGAATCTGAAATTTTCTTTGTGGGAAATCTTTTAATTACAAATGTAATTTCTTTAATAGATATAGTGCTATTCAGGTAATATATTCTTTCCTAGGTGAACTTTGCTGTTTGTGTCTTTCAAGGAATTTGTCCATTTCATCTAACTTGTCAAATTTGTTGGCATAAGGTGGTTCATAATACTCCCTTATCATCATTTTAATATCTGTGGAATCTATAGTGATATCACATCTCTCATTTCTGATATTGGCAACTTGTAATTGATCTCTTTTTTTTTATTATTATTCTGGCTAGAGGTTTATCAATTTTATTGACCTGTTCACTGACCAGTTTTTGGTTTAGCTGATTTTCTATTTTATTTATTTCCACTTTGATCTTTATTATTTCCCTATTCTGCTTACTTTGGGTTTAATTTTTTGTTTCCTGATTTTTTAAAAATTGAAGTTGTGGTCAATGATCTATCTCCTTTTTCTAGTCTAGTACTTTAGTGCCAACATTTTCTAAGTAACATTTTGGTTGCATTTCTCAAATTTTGATATATTGTATTTTATTTTCATTCAGTTAAAATGCTTTTTAATTTCTGTTTTGATTTCTTCTTTGATTTATGGGTTGCTTGGAAGTGTGTTGTTTAGTTTCCAAATATTTGTGGATTTTCCAGAGATCATTATGTTATTGATTTCTAATTAAATTCAATTGTAGGATGGCTTGCATTCTGTTTTATAGCTCAGAATATGGTCTGGTAAATGTTTAATGTATACTCAAAAGCAATGTTTATTCTTCTGCTGTTGGGTCAAGTGTTCTATAAATATCAAGCAATTCAAGTTGGCTGATAGTGTTGCTAGATTTTCTATATCCTTGTTGATTTTCTATTTGTTCTAAATTATTGATGGAGTAGTATTGAAATCTCTGACTATAATTGTGTATTCGTCTATTTTTCTTTGTACGTCTATTATTTTTTACTTCATGTATTTTTAAACTGTCATTAGGAACATAAGTGTTTAGAATTGTTACATTCTTTTGATTAACAACTTTATAATTATGAAATTACCTTCTTTATCTGTGATAATATTCTTTGCTTTGAAATCAACTTTTTTGATATTAGTGAAGCCCACTCTAGCTTTCTTTTGATTAATATCAGCGTAGTATATTGTTTTATTTTAACTGACTTATGTGTTTATATTTAAAATGCATTTCTTGTAGGCTAAGTAGAGTTGAGTTTATCTTTAATCCAATTTGAAAACCTCTTTTACTTGAGGGTATTTTGACTACTTATACTTTATGTTGATTATCAGTATGGTTAGGTTTAAATCTATGATCTTAAATTTTGGTTTTTATTTGTCTCATTTGTTCTTTTTTTTTTTTTTACCTCTTTTTGTCTTATTTTGGATTATTGAGTATTTTTATAATTTATTGCTCATTTACTGTCTCTGTTTTTTTCATTTCAGTGGTTGCTTTAGAATTTATAACATATCTTTTTAATTTACCACATTCTATCTTTAATTAATCCTATATCAATTCATGTGTAGTATAAGAACCTTACAAAGGTATATTTCAATTTCTTCCCTAACTGTCCTTGTACTGTTGTCATTAATTTCACTTTTACATATGTCATAAAGTTCACATTACATTGTTGTTATTTCCAGCTTCTTTTCTATTAATCCAACTTGTATGTCATTTCCCAATGTTATAAGTAGTTACAATCTTTTTACCATGTTTTTTATTAGGTACTTACCTAAATATTACAAAATTCATCTTTGCTTTGTTAAAGTCTAACAGAAGCTAGTAGTTTTATTATTTTCTGGACAATCCTGGAAGTTTACAACACTTTAACTCCATATACTTCCTTCTAACTTTTTGTAATATTGTTGTAAGTTTTAATGATATAAATGTGTGTGTGTGTATATATGTACATACATATTTCAAACTCCACAAGATGTTTTTATTATTGTTTTGCACAATTAACATTTATTGGGCTGGATGTGATGGCTCTTGCTTGTAATCCCAACACTTTGGGAGGTCAGGGTGGGTGGATCATTTGAGCCCAGCAGTTCGAGACCAGACTAGGCAACAAGCGAGACCCCAACTCTACAAAAAAATAAAACAATTAGCGGGGCGTGATGGCACATAATTGTGGTCCCAGCTGCTCAGGAGGTTGAGGTGGGAGAGGATCGCTTGAGCTCAGGAGGCGGAGGTTGCAGTAAGTCGAGATCGCACCATTCCATTCCAGCCTGGCCAACCAAGTGAGACTCTATCTCCAAACAAAAATAAATCAAAACATTTATTTAGGTATGCCCCATTTTCATTAGGCACATTCAGTATGTCTTCTCTACATGCTTTTGTCTGAGTGATTTTCATTCTCTACCTGAAGAGCTTCTTTTCTTTTCTTTCTTTCTTTCTTTCTTTCTTTTTAAAGTGCAAATCTGTTGCTGTTGAATTTTCTCAATTTCTTTTTTTGACATGGAGTCTCACTCTGTCGCCCAGGTTGGAGTACAATGGCACGATCTTGGCTCACTGCAACCTCTGCCTCCTGGGTTCAACCGATTCTTCTGCCTCAGCCACCCGAGTAGTTGGGATTACAGGCGCCCGCCACCATGCCTGGCTAATTTTTTTGTATGTTTATAGAGACAGGGTTTCACCGTGTTAGCCAGGATGGTCTCGATCTCCTGACCTCATGATCCACCCGCCTTGGCCTCCCAAAGTGCTGGGATTACAGTCATGAGCCACCATGCCCGGCCCTCTCTCAATTCTTATTTGTTGTAAAATGTATTGATTTCTTCCTAATTGTTGAGGATATTTTCACAAAGTATAAATTTTCAGATTGCTAGTTACTTTCTTTCACCATTTGAAGACATTATTCTCACTTCACAGTGAGTAATCTAAGTCTTCCATCTGTTAAGAAGTCAATAGTTTGTCTTCTTATTGGACCCACCGTGGTGATATATTTTCTTATTGGACCTGTGATGGTGATATATCTTTTTTTGTCCCTGTACTTGCATTAAAATTTTTTCTCTTTCTCTTTGGTTTTCTTTACTTTTACTGTGTGATTAGTTGTAGCTCATAGTGCTTCTTAAGTCTGGGCTTAATGTCCACAGTCCTTGGGTTTAACAGCATGTTCTTAATCTGTGACTTAGTGTATTTAGCTTACAAAATTATCAGCCAAAACTGTTTAAATATTGTGGCCATTCTATTTTGTCTCACTTTTGCTTTAGTGAGCCAGTGCTACTAGGCTAAAACTTTTCAATGTCTGTTATGTATTTCTTACACTTTTAAAAATAGTTTTTCCATAATTTTGTTTCTCATGCTTTAATCTGAATGTTTTCTTCTGACCTGCTTTCCAGTTTGTTTTTCTCCAGCTGTGTTTAATCTATTGTTATATAATGTTAGACAAAGCATTTTTCATTTTTAGGATTTCCATTTGTGTCTCCTTTAAAGTGTCCTGTTCTATGTTAAAATTTTCTATTTTGTCATTTAATTTCTTGAACATAGTAATTATAGGTATTTGAAAATCTATGTCTGATAACTCCAATGTTTGTATCTTCTGTGGGTCTATATATGCTGCCTATATTTTCCTTTTGATTTTTTCTATTTTTTAAAGAAGACTATTTTTGATTGACATTTCAACACATTAGGAATGAAAAATTATGGGTATATTTTTAAGGCTCTGGATAATTTACTTTTGCTTTTGTCTAGCAGTTAGACTAGAGGCAAATCACCTCAATCTAATCATAGATTACATTTATTCAAGGCTAGGTTTTAATTTGTGAGGTATGGTTCAACTGAATAATGACTGCCCTCCCACACCAAGAATATCCACATCCTAATTCCTGGAACCTGTGGATGTTAGGGTTTTTTTTTTTTTTTCCATGGCAAACAATAACAACAACAACAGAAAGGAGTTTGTAGAGGTGATTAAGTTAAAGATCTAAGAATGTTGAGATGGGGAGAGTATCCTGAATTATCTAAGTGGGCCCTGAATACAAGGACATATATCCTTGTAAGAAGGAGGTAGAGGGAGATCTGACACACAGCAGAGGAAGAGGCAGTGTGACCACACAGAGACCGGAATTATGTATTCACAGCAAGGAGGACGGTCCCTGCCACTTCCAGCTTCGGCAGCCACCCGCAGGGAACATATCTCCCCTGGAGGCTTTGGAAGCAGGGCAGCCCTGCTGACGTCTCTGTTTTGGTCCAGTGATGTTTATTTTGGACTTTCTGGCCTCCGGAACTTCGAGGAAATAAATTTCTGTTGTTTTAAGACATCAAGTTTGTGGTCATTTGTTACAACAGCCACAGAAAGCCAATTAATATGCTGGTCTGTTTCTTTATACCCAATTACTGGAGTTAGACTTTTGGGACCCTAACTGAATGCCTGGATCTAGCAAGGCATCTTCTTCTTGGTGGAACCTGAATTTTAATTTTCATCTCTCTAGCCCTGTATATTGGTCGCAAGCTCTGCTCAAATTCTCAAGGTCTGAGTGATTGCTTTTGAATCGGCGAATGCCTTAAAAGAAAGTGTCAGAGGCCAGGCGTGGTGGCTCACACCTGTAATTCCAGCACTTTGGGAGTCCAAGGCAGGTGGATCACTCGAAGCCAGGAGTTCAAGACCAGCCTGGCCAACATAGTGAAACCCCGTGTCTACTAAAATTAGCCAGGTGTGGTGGTTCACACCTGTAATCCCAGCTACTTGAGAGGTTAAGGCAAGAGAATTGCTTGAGCCCAGGAGGCAGAGGTTGCAGTGAGCCGAGATCACACCACTGGACTCCAGCCTGGGCAACAGAGCAAGACTCTGTCTCAAAAAAAAAGAAAAAGAAAAAAAAAGTGTTAGAAGAAAATCCTTCCAGACTTCCCCTGCTTTGGTGACTTTTCTGGGTGTTTGCAACACATGGATTGCTCTGAATCTAAATTGTCAGTCACAGCTGGAATTGATTTGTTCTTTGCAGTACTTTATTGAGTACTGCAATAGTAAGTGTATGGCTTGATGACTCTTTCTACCTGACTATCACGCAGGTTATCCATCCTCTAGAATGTTTCCATCACCATGAAATGTCCCCTTCTCCCCTTTTCCCATCAATACCCTCCTCCCGTAAGAGGCAACATTTATTCTGATTTGTTTCATCATAGATTAGTTTGGCCTGTTCAGTGGTCATGTTAATGGAATTATACAGTATGTACTATTTTATGTCTGACTTCTTTTGCTCATAATGATTTTTATGAAAGTCATCTATGTTGTTAAATGTGTCAGTAGTTTATTCATTTGTATTGTTTGGTAATATCCCATTGTATGAATCCACCTGAGTATGTGTATCTGTTTATGGATAATGAATATGTGGGCTGTTTTCCATCTTTAGCATTTGTAAATAAGCTGCCATGAACATTTTTCTATAGGACTTTTTGTAGACATATGCATTTGTTTCTCCTAGATATATACCTAGGAGGAGAATTTCCAGGTCATAGATAAGTGTGTATTTAACTTTATTAGAAACTGCCAAACAGGTTTCTGAGATGGTTTTATCATTTTATACTGTGGATATCAGAGAGTTCACATCCTTACCAAAATTTGGTATTCTGAGTATTTTTTAATTCAGCCATTCTGGGAGGATGATAGTATATTACCGTGGTTTTAATTTTTATTTTTTTCTGATGACTAATGATGGTAAGCTCCCTTTTTATAAAATGTACAACCTTCTCTTTGTTCTTCAGACATACTAAGGCCACCCGGTCTATGTGCCCCAAATTGCAATTATTGCTTCCTAAATAAAATGTTTTAAATTTAGAGATTCAGCTCTGTATTTTATTTGACTTCAGTAAGTATAAGTCTGGCAGATATTCACAAATATAGTATCAGATATTCACAAATATAATATAATATATTTTTCACTATGTTACCCTGGTTGGTCTCAAACTCCTGAGCTCAAGCAATCCACGTACCTTTCCTTCCTAAAGTGTTGGGATTACATGTGTGAGATGCCACACCTGGCCTTCATCCTTCTTCTTTCTTCTTTGATTTTTAAAAAGATATGTATTTATTCTGCTCTGAAAGCTCTTATTCCCTGATTGTTTCTTTTTATATACACCATCTCATCTTGCTTTTTTGGATGTAGTTTCTCTTATCCCTCTGGAAACACTGATTATTGTGTGTTTTTGTTGTTGCTACTATCTTTTGCTTTCTGTTGTCTATTTACTTCTATTTTTAGTTTGTTTACTCTTATCTCTGCTTTCTTCTAGCAGCCTTACTCAAACATTTGGTGATTCTGGGCTGGCTGTGCAGAGCCTGGTGCTGGGTGGTTGGTTTCTAGTTCTGCAGATGTGTAAGTGGAGCCAGTGCATTTGTAGGCTTCATTATGCCGTGATCAAGAAGCAAACTAGCTTTTTTGGGGGACCTCATGTATCAATACCTAAACTTCTCTAGCCCCTCAATTTCTTTGAAATGGACTCTCTCAAGATTCTGTCCAGGGTATAATAGAGAGGAGGGAATAGGTGCCTGATACTGACCTTATGGAGTCAGGGCTGGAGAATGAGGCAGAAGGTAACACAATTGAGCAGATAGACTTTCATTGAATTTCCTCGTGTGTAAATTCATGCCTTGTTCTGGTCTTTCAGCATACCCCCAAGTGCATAGTTTCTCAGGTTCTGTTTCTCCAGTGAATTCATTAATGCACTCCAAAATAGTTGACTACTGTATGTCCGGTGATGTCCAAGGTGCTAGGTATAGAGCAGTGAGCAAAACAACATCTTTGATCTCATGGGTTGGATTCCATTTAAGAGAGACAAACAAAAACAAAATCAACAAATTAATGTATACTGTATCACATGGAAGAGGAATAAAGTAGGGTCGGGGGATAGAGAGTGACAGGGGGTGGTCTTTTTGTAGGCGTGGAAATCTCTCTGATGGGAGGCCTAAAGGAAGTAAGGAGACAAGTCAGGGAAGTATTTAGTGGAAGTGTGTTCCAGATGGAGGAAACACAAATGCAAGACCCCAAGGTGAGAATGTGTGCAAGCGCAGCACTGTGTGAACTGAGGAGGGGAGTGAGGCCTCCAGTTACTCTGTTTACAGAATTTCACCACTCTCCCTGGTTGCATTGCCAGCCCTCAGCCTCTCCTGGTTCTGCACCTAACATATTTGACACTCAAAGTTGATCATTTTTAAAACCTCCTCCTCTGTATAATAAAATTATTTGCAGTAACAATAATAGAGATAAATGATAATAATGATGAGAAAAGAAACACAGTGAATATTTTCTTTCTTGAATTTTGTATATATAATCAAGAAAATAAAGGTAAAATAATTACAATACACAAAAGGGGAAAAGAACCTCAAGGGATAGCACTTTTAATTATGTAGATATATTTTTTAAAACAAACAAATGTATTCCTACATATTGAGCTATCAAAATAATGAATTAACCATTATGTTTATGTTCTCAAGCCTTAACTTCTGCAAATTTTTCAGTGACCTGGTAAAAATTTATCTTCTATATATAATCATTATCTATAGATAGTATAGCTAGATATATCCTTTTATCTTCAATCATAGTTAATAAAAATACTTATTAGTATAAACTTAAAAGAATTCTTTCATATAAAGAAAATATATATGAATCTTTAGAAAAAGCCTTAAGGATGTGGAAAGTTGATCATACAAATTGGGTAATTCTTGTCATATCCAACTAAATCAGAATCATGAGGCTAAAGGGCAAAAGCGCTCAGGGCACATGAAATTGATCCAAGAACGTAATTCTCTGCAAGTCTGGCTGCTGAAACTGCCTGCTGTACCCTGAAACTGGCTTTATCTAATAGCTGCTGAAATAACTTGCTAAGACTCTTAGACACGTTTTCTCCACAATCATCACTCATCAATCAGAGCTTGCCAGCTCCCCAACACTTTATTGGTACCAGTGAACTTTCTGGAAAAACAATAAGTAACATCTCCCCTTTTTATAAAATGTACAGCCTTCTCTTTGTTCTTCAGACATACTGAAGGCCACCTGGTGTATGTGCCCCAAATTGCAATTATTGCTTCCTAAATAAAATGTTTTAAATTTAGAGATTCATCCCTGTATTTTATTTGACTTCAGTAAGTATAAGTTTGGCGGATATTCACAAAAATCCCATTTCACAATGAATTCCAGAAACTGCAATATGGTCCACATTTCTTTTTGGATCAATTCTAGCAACTTTCAAACATCTTTATCGTCAAAAAATCATTTCACTAGATTATTTATATCTGAAAATTCATTATAAATTTCTTATATTTGTAAAAACTTCTGAAGGTTTTCTTTTGTAAAAATCAGAAGGGCCGGGAGTGGGGTTTCATGCCTGTAATCCCAGTGCTTTGGGAGGCCTAGGAGGGCAGATCATGAGGTCAGGAGATCGAGACCATCCTGGCTAACACAGTGAAACCCCGTCTCTACTAAAAATGTGAAGAATTAGTCAGGGCTGATGATGGCGCCTGTAGTCCCAGCTACTCGGGAGGCTGAGGCAGGAGAATCACTTGAACACAGGAGGCAAGGGTTGCAGTGAGTCAAGATCACACCATTGCACTCCAGCCTGGGCTACACAGTGAGACTCCATCACAAAAAAAAAAAAAAAATCAGAAAGCATCACGGAATCATAGTGAACATTACCATTATTTAATTTATTGGGTTACAATGGATATTCAGTTCTTGGTGAAAATACTCAAGGTTTTGAGACATTGCCCTTGTGATTTTTTCTGAACGTGGCTGCTTTTGTAACTTCTCTTTGAACTCTTCTCTGAAATGTAATTATTTTTTCCATGTACATGTACATTTTCTCACTTTATGTTGCATAGTTGCTAACCTTTCTGCACAAATTTTTTGCCTAGATTTTTAAGATACAACTTTAAAGCTTGATGTTAAACAATGTATTAAGCCTGAAATCTAGTTGTTTGCAAATATTTTTGTGTTTGATTAATCCTACCTAAAAGTTCACATCCAAAACCAAAAATCCAATAAATGATATCTCTGATTCTGTTTTATTTTCTTGATTCCTTCTTTAATTTTGACAATTAACAAAATAATACATTTTACTATTAAATATATTCAGTAATCAGTAAACTATTTCATGCGTAAACCAAAGTTTGTACTTACCAAACAAAAATATTACACTGTGCAGTTTTCTCTCTGTTTAATTTTAAACACAAAGGCTTCCACTGGTCACACAGAACAAAAGAAGAATTGAAGTAACTCAAGTTCTGTTCCTTTGCCTTTACTGTCATTGTGCTATTGTTATCTTTCATTGTTTAGCTCTAGTATATTGTTTGAATGTAGCACTATGTAGTTCTACAGGTGTTGGAAAGACAGGAAGTATGAGGAAAGCCAGTGGCAATGATTCTGATACAACCTAAAAAGAGGATACTCAGTGATGTCTGGGTGTGTCAGGGGCTGCTTGATAACTGGGAGTTCCCTGCATTCATCTCTGCATAGAATACAAGGCTTATTAAAGACTAAGTAGGCCAGGTGCGGTGGCTCTTGCCTGTAATCCCAGCATGTTGGGAGGCCGAGGCGGGTGGATCACCTGAGGTCAAGAGTTCAAGACCAGGCTGGTCAACACGGTGAAACTCTGTCTCTACTAAAAATACAAAAAATTAGCCAGGCATGGTGGTGGGCTCCTGTAATCCCAGTTACTCAGGAGGCTGAGGCAGGAGAATTGCTTGAATCTGGGAGGTGGAGGTTACCGTGAGCCCAGATAGTGCCGCTGCACTCCAGCCTGGGCAACAGAGTAAGACTCTGTCTCAAAAAAAAAAAAAAAAAAAAAAAAAAAAAAAAAAAAAAAGACTAAGTAATAAATGTGCTGATTTGAAGCGTATATATGTATATATATAAGCTATTATGTATCTATATTGTGTGTGTGTATATGTATGTGTATGTTGTTATATATGTGTGTTTAAAACTCTGAAGACAAAACACTCTTTTAGTCTTCACTGGGCTTCTGCCTCCACCACCCTCACCCATTTAGGAGAGGCAAAATTTTTTATCCTTTATCCTCTTAGGGTTTTTCAGCTGGGCCTTATAATTAAATTGACAAGACAAATCAACAGGAGAAAAGCAGGCATATTTATTTAAGACAAGTTCTACATGACATGGGAGCCTTTAAAAAGAAATGAAGACCCAAAGATGCGGTTAGAGTTGAACACTTATATACTGAGTTGGACAAAGAGTAGTAAGTTGTAGATAAATAACTAAATTATGTGGGGAGGCTAAAAGAAGTTAACAGTTATTTTAACAAGGTCTGTACAGAATTCCCTTGGCTTTGACTTTCTGCCCTTGATGATAAGAATGACATTTTCCTTCTGGTATGGGGAGGGCATCTTGTGCATGGTAACTTCATCTCCAGTTTTTAAGAAACAGAAGGACGATCAGGCCATGGAGTGGTGGCTCCTGCCTATAATCTCAGCACTCTGGGGGCCAAGGTGGGAGGATTGTGTAAGTCCAGAAGTTCAAGTTTGGGAAGGAAGGTCAGAGTAAATTTTTTTGTACTAGCTGTTTTTCAAATGCCTTTTACTCAAAATAGTCAATATGCCAGAGCAGCATATTTTAGGGTGGCATATTCTCAACACATGCTCTCAGGTTCTGGAGCCTGATGCTGCCCTGGTACGGGGAATCCTGAGAGGACCCACTACTCACTGGGCATCGTCTCCACGGGTACATTCTCTCCTCTGTTGTTTAAAGTTCTCCTATAGCTGTTGCATGAACAAACATACATGGACAGACCTGAGCCCAGCCTTCAGCCTGGTGCCAAGCCCAGACAGATCCTCATCTGCAGCAGAGCCACTCAGCTGAGCCCAGCCTAAGTCAGCCAAAGTGCAATTGCCTGTAGACCGGTGAGAATAAGCAAATATTTGCCTGTTCTTGTAAGCCACCAAATGGGAGGTGAGTTTGGTGGTAATTGTTGTTTTTTTTTGTGGTAAGGTCTCACTCTATTACCTAGACTGGAGTGCAGTAGCTTAATCATGGATCACTGAAGCCTCAAACTTCTGGACTCAGGTGATCCTGCCACCTCAGCCTGCCAAGCAGCGGGGACCACAGGCACATACCATCATGTCTGGCTAATTTTTTATTTTTTAAACAAAAAATATTGTAGAGATAGGGTCTCACTATGTTGCCTAGGCTGGTCTCAAACTCCTGGGCTCAAGCGATCCTCCCACCTTTGCCTCCCAAAGTGCTGAGATTATAGGTCTGAGCCCCTGCAGAAGAAGACGGCCATCTGCAACCTGGAAGAGACCCTCGTTAGAGCCCAACTATGCTGACACCCTGATCTTGGGACTTCTATCCTCCAGAACTATGAAAAATAAGCTTGTTATAGTAGCCTGAACTAAGACAGCTGAGTAAAAAAATTTTTAAAAGGCCCGGCACAGTGGCTCACACCTGTCATCCCAGCACTTTGGTAGGCCGAGGTGGGCAGATCAAGAGGTCAGGAGATAAGGATCATCCTGGCTAACACAGTGAAACCCTGTCTCTACTAAAGATACAAAAAATTAGCCAGGCATGGTGGCATGTGCCTATAATCCCAGCTACTCAGGAGGCTGAGGTAGGAGAATCGCTTGAATCCAGGAGGCAGAGGTTGCAGTGAGCCGAGATTGTGCCACTGCACTCCAGCCTGGGCGACAGGGCAAGACTACTCCGTCTGAAAAAAGAAAAAACAAACCTAGCTTTCCTATGTAACATTCTTTTAGGGGCACACTG